TTGTGCTAAAGTATATTTGTATATGTATATAAGAAAAAATAAATAATTAACATTAGTGCTTACAGTAACTTGATTATTATTTAATGAAAATATTTATATTAACAAGTAAGGAAGGGCTAAGTTCGGGTGTCACCGAACATTTTATACTCTCGCATCAAATACCGTATTTGTGTAAAGTTTTATTCCGCTATCATCATTGGTTCCTAATATATATATTATACAGAGAAGGCATCAGATGGAATTGAAAATAGCGTTATATTGGAAGAAGGCGTGGTTGTGAACCGATTTCACCCATATTTAATACATGTCATCGAGCTGTTCAGAAAATATTATATACCGAATTTCATTGAAATCGGTCGAGTACTTCCTGAGATATGGTTTTTGGTCCATAAGTGTGCGACGCCACGCCCATTTTCAATTTAAAAAAAGCCTGGATGCAGTCGGTTAGTAGATAGTCGGTTAACACACTTTTAGTGATTTTCAACATAACCTTTGTATGGGAGGTGGACGTGGTTATTATCCGATTTCTTCCATTTTTGAACTGTATATGGAAATGCCTAAAAGAAACGACTCTATACAGTTTGGTTGACATAGCTATAGTAGTTTTCGAGATATGTACAAAAAAGTTAGTAGGGGGCGGGGCCACGCCTACTTTCCAAAAAAATTGCGTCCAAGTTTGCCCTTCCCTAATGCGATCCTTTGTGCCAAATTTCACTTTAATATATTTTTTATCTTATTTATGGCTTAGTTATGACACTTTATAGGTTTTCGGTTTCCGCCATTTTGTGGGCGTGGCAGTGGGCCGATTTTGCCCATCTTCGWACTTAACCTTCTTATGGAGCCAAGAAATACGTGTACCAAGTTTCATCATGATATCTCAATTTTTACTCAAGTTACAGCTTGCACGGACGGACGGACAGATAGACATCCGGATTTCAACTCTACTCGTCACCCTGATCACTTTGGTATATATAACCCTATATCTGACTCTTTTAGTTTTAGGACTTACAAACAACCGTTATGTGAACAAAACTATAATACTCTCTTTAGCAACTTTGTTGGGAGAGTATAATAAGTGTGGTTTGGGAAGCAAAAATGTTCGCATTACCATAATTGATAACTTTTCGCACTTGGTATCCGTATTTTGCGGTTTGAAAGTTATGTTAAAATCTGGCATAAAATAATTCTGATTAACCATTGTCGAGTTCGCTGCCGTTCAAGCAGGCGCATACTACAGTTAATGTTGAATCTCATCCTAGTTCAATCTTTCATACACTTGCTTCTTCTTCGGACGTCCGGAACCAGCTAGACGTTTTAAATACCTCTTTTTCGCATATTTTTGCAGGCAAGCACCGACAGTAGGTTTGCTAAATTTCATTTTTTAACTAATTTTGCGTTTACTCAAGTTTTGAGATCACAAAGCTAAAAATGTAGCTTTATCAACTATATAACTATATATGTATAAGTTGCATTCCAGAGTAAACAGGACTTCAAAACAAAACAGAACAAATGGTTTTTTCGGCAAAATCAATTTATTTTATTCAAAATAGTCTCCTTCGGCTTCAATACAGCTTTTTGCACGGTCCAAAAGCATGTCGAACGAGTAGTATGGCCGGCAGTATGCCCTTGCAAGCCTTTTGAATGGTCTCTACGTCTGCATAACGCTCTGCTTTCATGTGAAAATGCATTTTTCCGAAAAGGAAGAAGTCGCACGGTGCCATATCAATTGAATACGGTAAGTGGTTAATGGTTAAAATGTGATTTTTGGTCAAATAATCGGTTACAATGATGTCCTTCGAATGTTGGATTCTAAGCAATTTTTGGTTGTCAGTCAATTTGTGCAGAACAAACCGTGTACACACCTTCCGTAAGCCCAAATGTTCGGTCAAAATGCGATAAATCGATGCTTTGGAGATATTCAATTCCATTTCCATTCCAAAAAGTCCTGTTTACTTTGGAACACACCTTGTATATTCCGTAAACTGTCGAATAAGTCGGCCGATGACAATATTTCCATTTCCTTGGAGGGCACATTGTTAGTTTCCAAGAATATTACAGACCAAATTTTGACAAATTACGTCAAAAAGAAATGACCTTTAACATTTTCACAGAAATTATAAATAAAGCCTTCCCATTGCTTTGTTCATTATCTCAGGAGTTCAGGTTTCTTTTGCAAAACCTTAAATTAAAAAATGATATCAAAAGAACGATTCAAATTTCCTTTTATTTTCTCCTTTTATTACCTAGCTACGATAGCTAAACTTTGTTTCCGGCAAAGTATCAGAATAAAGTCCTTACGAGTGGGTCTATTATTATTTCCACGACTGTACGAACAACCATGCATAAAAATATGAAATATACGCGCCATAATAATAATAATAATAATAATAACAATAAAATGTAGCAGTGCAAAGTAAAAAAATATATATATGCTAGATATATACATATGTATATATGAATATATTTGAAAGTCACGGCTAATGTGTGGAATACAATGCTCGCGACAGACTGCTAACAACATCTGTCAAATATTAAAATACACACGTTCTTATGGACGGACCTATTTTGACAGCTGCACGACTACACGACTGCAGGCCGACAGTTGTCGTTCTCGCTAACTTCAATTTTATCCTATATTTACCAACGACAGTAAGACCACAGTAGAGTTGACAGTAGAATGGAAGATAGAGAGATGAGGTAGAGTGGTGATGCCACTAATATGTAAAATGTAAAATTACTCAAAGCTCTAACAAAACTGACGTTATTTTACAAATAAAAGCATAAAATAGCTCTGTTACATCATTTATAATAACAATTGATAATTTAAAACAAATAAATTTACCTATTTACTTATTTTTTGCTTAAAAATTTCACTTTAAACAAAATATTAAAATTTCATTGAAGTGCGAGGTATTAGTATGGCCACAACAAAATTGTGTACATGCAAACTGGACAACTGAGTTGTTTTGTGTTGCTGCCCTCTCACAAACGTTCTTGTAGTAGGATTCACAACGCCATTTTCAGTTCACTGTCGTGCTGCTGCAGTCTGTCGCTAGCATTGTGTTCCACACATAACACTCCATTGCAGTTTAGTTCATTATTTATTTACTCTTAGTACACACTTGTCTGTATGTATATTAGTTTAATTTAAGTAAATAGCAGTATGTTATTGCATCTGCATAAGTGTGAATAATACTAACAAACACTGCAAACGCCCTACAAATCGACAAAAATGGTGCGCAACAAAAATAAATCATATTCTCTGCGCATAAATAAATGGCGAAAATTCGATTCTTGAGCAACAAATACAACAAAAAATAGATATATTATGAAGAAAAAATCGTCACATTAGTTTACAATTTGAAATCTTTAGAAAAATTTCCACCATAAAGTGGCTACTCATATTACCTCTGAGTTTGTAAACAAACAAAAGCCATTGGGAATCAAATTTCATAGCTAAAATTTCCGTTGTCAACTCGCCACAATGATTGTAAGTAAACTATAGAGTTGCAATAACACAACAAATTGCTTGGCGGTTGTACTAGAGAAGTTCTAAGCTGCTCACAAACTTAATAGATCTATTTTCTTTACTATAACTTCTAAATAGTGGGACGAGGTGTAGATCTATCGGCATGAGTGTAATATTATTAAAAAATTGGGTTGTCAAACGTTAAGTTGTACTAAAGTCAATGGCAAAACCATGATTGCCTGAAATATAATATTCAAAATCTACATATAATGGAATAACCTGGATGTGCATACATCTTTTAAACTATGTTTATCCAAATAGAACATATGAGTTACAGATTGCTTATTAACAATATCTATAGCGAGTGGATCGTTTCCTCTGCGATCTGCGGCCCTCTCCGCCCCTAAATGACTTCTTTGAATTAAAATTTTTATAAAATTAAACTTATTTTTAACCAGTAAACATTTACATATTTAAACAATCTTCATCCCGACTTTCCCAATACATTTTTTTCATGTTGTCAATTCCTTCTAGGTAGTTGCTCATAGTTAAATATTTGTTACAACAACTCAAAGAAATATTGTATGTTATGAGTATAACAGACGTTTCAAATAGTTCTTAATTCAGTCAATTAGTCAATTACCGACTTTATGGAAACTGTTAATTCACTTATGGTGGTTGATGCCTTGGTCAATTAGCCGAAACATTTATGAAGCCATAATGTTATAAGAATTGAACCATGGAAATAACGTACAAAAGCTTCTGTTCAGGTTGTACTTAATTAAGTCCTCTGCTAAATTATCTTAGACTTAGACTTAGTGTTAGTAAATATATTTATTTCTAAACGAACTACAGCAAATCTCCGGGTACTCTTCTCAAAAAAGACCTTTTGCGGTGACCACTATATCTCTGAACTGGATCCTTTGAAATTAAAAATTAAACAGATTTCGTTAAATTAATGTTAATTCTAGTAATTAAACAAAGAAAAAAGTAATATATATTTTTTGGCGGTTTAAAAAAAAATAAAGATTTTTGACCAAAATTTCGGCCTAAAACGTCTTTTCAAATTTGCGTATAGCTTCGAACATATTCACCTTAAATATATGTACTTAAGAAAATAAAATTTAAAAAATCGATTTTTTGGAAATTCTAACTGTACTTAAACCCTCAACATAACGATATTTTAGTTGACGGTCACTTATTCTAAGAACTTTTAATTTTCTCATTTAATATTATCATCCCTGCCCACATACGAGGCCTTTAGGAGTTTTGCAAAAACTTATTATTGTTATTAATTACATATATAGTTAATTGTATGGCTAATTGAGAAAAATTAATGGTTAAATTGTAATACTTTGTTAAGAGCATATTTGAGCATATTATAAAAAGATAACTAAAACGTCACTTAATTTCAAGTAATATTATATTTAGAACCAACAATTTTATTGGATTTAATAAGATTTTGTTTCAAAAAATATAATATATTTGACATTCTAATACTTATATGCTTCGTTCCTTAATTGTCTTGCAGATTTTGCAAAATTTGGGCAAAGTCGACCGGACTGCCGATGATATTTTCGACGATCATTTAAATAACTTCAATCGCCAACAAACTAATGCCAACAGATTACAAAAGGAGTTCAACAACTACATCAGATGTATTCGTGGTGAGTGCTGGGAAATATATTTGCCAATATTAAACTATAATATATTATTAAACCAATAATTACTTGCTTATCTTTTATAAAGCCGCTCAAACCGCTTCCAAGTCGCTGATGGATGCCATTTCCGAAATCTATGAACCACACTGGGTCGGCTTTGATGCATTGCAGGCACAGACCGGCGCTGCCGAAAGTCTTTGGCAAGACTTCGCCCATAAATTGGCAGATCAAGTATTGATTCCGTTGAATACATACACTGGACAATTTCCAGAAATGAAAGTGAGCTATAAATTTAAAGCAAAAATAATGAATACATATATTTATATATTTATTACTATTATTATTTATTTTATAGAAAAAAGTGGATAAACGCAATAGAAAGCTGATTGACTATGATGGCCAACGCCATTCATTCCAAAGTCTTCAGGCCAATGCTAACAAGCGCAAGGATGATGTCAAGGTAAGTCTTGTGTTGTTGTGATAAAATTTCTCGATATAATTATAATTATTTTTTCGCTTATTGAAAATTAAAGCTCACGAAAGGACGCGAGCAGCTGGAGGAAGCTCGTCGCACCTATGAAATTCTCAATACCGAGTTGCATGATGAGTTGCCCGCCTTATATGACTCAAGAATATTGTTTTTGGTCACCAACTTGCAGACGCTCTTTGCAACGGAACAAGTGTTTCACAATGAAACGGCTAAGGTGCGCTTTTTATGATATCAAAAATAAAAATAGAATTTATAAAAAAAAAAAATTAATTTTAAATTTTAAATAAAATTGCAATTTTTACCCGCTTGTTCTCTCTCTCTCTCTCTCTCTCTTTCACTGCCAGGCACTGCCTTTTCCGCTCCAAGCCCCACAAAGACGTCACCATTCAAGCAAATGAACAACACAAACACCACCAATAACAGTAACTATCAAAATCAGATCACCACAAATGGCTCCAGTAATGTCAACAGTCGTAAGTACTTTAGTACACACATACATTTACACCATTTAACTACTAGCTTCGTAGGATGTGTTGTGCAGTGCTAAATTGTTATTTTTTTTGTTTGTTCTTTTACGCTTTTAGTAGCAGAAAAGCATTTAAATGCCAAAGCATATGCAAGCGTGTGTTTGTGTGCGAGTATGCGTGTGCGTGTGCTAGAGGAACATTTTATTACATTTTATAAATATTTTTTAAAGCCAGCTCAAAAATCGTGTTGGCCATTTTAACATTTTAACATTTTTTCTGTTTTCTTTTTGTAATACTTTTTGTTTATTTTCTTTTCACTTCTTTACTTTCGTTACTGTTTATTTAGCCGAATAAAAAATAAAAACAAAAAAAAATTTTTTTTGACAAAATTTGCATTTGCATAAATTAAATTGAAAAAAATTGCTTGCTTTAATTGTAAGCTAAATACAATTCGATTAATAAAGTTGCGCACAAAACTGGTTTAATTAATTCAAAATTGCAAATTACAAAGCAAAAAAAAAAATTATTTCAAAGTTATAAAATTTAAAAGTATTTTATGCATACAATGACATGTACTTGCATTGCTTTACAAATCACGATAAATATTAAAAATATTTAAACACAATTTTTTCTCATTTTAACAATATCGAATCGAATTTAGCTTAATTATGACCCTATCCCCCTTAAATCTCTATAATATCCCACATTTTATGAGGTTGTGTGTGCTGAATACGTTAGCCTATTAAGTTAGTTTTGGCTGATAATTAAATTATAATTAATTATTATAACTACTTACGTATAAAAAATTTTATTTGCATTAGATGTCATAGTTAGCATGTAGCGTTATAATTTCATACGTTTATGGCCATAAAATTATAGTATCATATAACCTTTTTTTTTTAATTTATAATAGTTATAATTTTTGTTTGCTTTAATTTTAGTTATCTTACATAACATAATATATAAAACAAGTAAACTTTCATTAAGTGACAATTTTTAATAACTAAATGTGGTTATACTTAGTTGAAAGTTTCATACCATGATCATATCATAACAAAAATTATTGCCAAGTTGTTTTTTTTTTTTTTTTTTGCTATATTTTTATTGAAGACTACTTCTTTCAATTTATATACTACTACTTAGGTTGCCTTTTATATTTCGGGATTGGTGTGCAAAAACAAATTTGAAAGGTAGAAAATCGCTTTATTTTTTGCAAAATACTCTTCATTAGGACATACACACTTCCGCCTGCGTTTGAACCAATTCTCAAAGGATTTTTTTCACTCTAACTGAGGTGTCTCTAAAACAAGCATTCTGAATGTCTTTGAAAAACGACACGAACGTTGTTTAAGTCGATATGTGAGAGCTCACATTGAAGTGGTGAAGAGTGAACCGTCTACGGCGGCTGGTTTTCCTGATTTCTTGAAAGGCAACTGGCAAACAAATGCTTTTAACCACACAGAATTTACTGTTCTGCGTTCTTCCAGTAGTATGGTTCCAACATGTCCAGTTTTCCCAAAAAAAAAAATATCTTTTGCTTTATTCGGCTCACCTTAAAAACACCCATACCCTGCCGACAGCTGTGTACTTTTGTGCTTATACGCTTTACTCCACTTTTCACGATGTCATAGTCGTGTTTCAAGGACAAAATGTGTTGGGTCCAACGTGAATAAATGTTCATGGAATTTTGAATGTGTGCTGATCCCACTAATGCCTACAATCATCACAGCATTATAGTTTCTACTGCTTTTGGACGACTTTCACGATATTCGGCTTGGAGTGATCTACGACCACGATTGAATTCACATAACATCGATGAGATAAAAAAAAATAAATAAATGTGGTTTGCACCGCGATCTAAGATCTATTGTGCCCTCTCCCAACAACGACTCACTTAGCCCCAGCAAATTGATAAATTCCAATAAACTGCTAGGTGATATTGAGGCGATAATGATCCCTATTTGGAACCATGGATTCAAGCGTCTTTATACCATCGATAAACACAGGTCCTAAGCACTCTTGACTAATTCACGTCGAAAGTTGTGAAAACAAATCGCGCAAAAATGTAGGGATTTAATTCCTTTTGTTGGTAAGAATATTTTAAGTTACTGTAAACCCCACAAATGGCGCTCGTATGTCAAAACGTCCTGAGTATGCATACCATCAAAAATGTCAAACTTTACGATAAAATTAGGATTTGTCAGATTGCAACTTTTGTGTTGTCAAATCCCAAAACATAAAAGGCAACTTACGTTTTAAGGATTTGGTTGAAAATAATTAAACTAAATTAATTTTTAATAATTTGGGGTATATAAATATATAAATAATTACAGCAAGGTGGCATTTCTACCGGACTGAAAAGTTCGTGTCGTTTTTAAGAAAGAATACAGTGTTGTGGACAAAATCCGCCTTTATTACTCAACATGGCTGTCATCGAGACCAATATACTGATTATAGCAAACTTTCAACTTCGTGATAACAATTTTGTAATACGATATATTTTAAGTGGTATTGCCATTTTTGCGGGCAAAGAATCATGTGTTCATTCTTTTTTGTTTTCGTGATATAATCATTTATTCACAAAACTAATGAAACACTTGTCGAGTTTGAACCTTATGCTTTTTTCGGTTAATTTTGTTGACAATAATTTCGAGCGTTGTCTCTTGCATCGTTTTTTTTTTCTTGCCTGGCATGACAAGATATTTAGCAACCATAGTGTCGTACTACTGGAGCAAAATAAAAAAGTCGTTAATCTACGTGAGAATCCCCATAGAAGTACGTAGGTATATATTGTAAATAGACCGCCTTTAAAATAAAAAATTATCAAAACTATTTGTTTCGCCAATCGAAAAAATAGTTTTGAAAAACAAAAAACGCGTTTAAAGTTGCGCATACAACTATAACTGACCCGGAGGTGGGCGTGCTATATACGCCATAATTGTTTGAAACCATTTTTATTGCTACAAATCAACTTTAAACTTATTTTTGTGACTATAAAGCATGGTTTATACGGACAAGATGAATGTGGAGTTAATAGAAAACCAAATTTACATAATTCTGTTCGAAATTCAGTAAATCACATATGAAAGATTGTTGTACCTGGCGAAAAGTTCGAAGCTCTCATCCAATATTATGAGCAGGATTTTTGTTAAGTTATTAAAAATTTTAATTTCTTTTAAAATACGAAAAACCTACAAACGTCCCTAATAATGCTATACATGAGCTGTTAGAAGTCTGAACTTGCCTAGTGAGCACTTTCAACAAGCTTAGATTTTTTTTTAATATTAATATATTTTCATGATTGAAGTAGCTAAATTGTTATTTTGAGTTCAAAGTTATAAATATTGGCTTTAAGAAAAATGTATACATTTAAAGTTATAATTAAAAAATAAATAATTTAGACATATGTTTATAAATAAGCAGCAGTACAAGTGTGTATGTGTGCTTTTATTATTTTTAAGCTTTGCTTTTGATTTCGATGTCCAAATTTTGCATGTAATCATACCTTAGTTTATTACTTTTAATTTTAATTAAATTTTATTTACTGTTAATTGATTGAAAACCAAATTTTTATAACAATGAATTTGCATGTGATGAGTTTCTTTTTTTTTTTTTCTTGTTTTTCCCCAATTTTCTTCATTTATCTATAACGTTTCGTTTCGTTTCGTTTGGAATGCTTCTAACAACTGAATTCTGCAACCAACTTAACCACAAACAAAAAAATATAAAAAATACCTAACCTCATAAACATACCGTGGAACAAAATGTAATATACAATTGGCTGATAAAATTCGCAAATCGAAATTCGCCATTGCACATACGAAACAACAAACATTGAACACATAAACGAACAAAACAAAATACCAAAAACAAACAGCATCATCCACATCCACAAGCTCCTCACATCAAACATCCAGGCTTGACTCAGTTTCTCCAACGCCAGAATCGACACCGGAAAATTTGAAAGCCGCCGACAACGCTGCTTCAGCCGCCAACGTCTCAAGCGCCAGCACCGGCCCAGCATCGACGCCGGGCAGTAGCCCCCTAATCGGCACCATAACGCCACCTCCATATCAGAGTGAAGCAACTGAATTGTTTGCAAACGCTTCGCGTGCAGCGACGCTCAATAACAGCAACAGCAATGGCGGCGTTGAACAGCGTCCAGTTGCCACACCGGATAGTCCCAATGCGAATACAACGCTCCCCCCAGTTGCGGCTGGTCCTAACGACAGCTCTGCTGCTGCGGAAGCCAAGCCCAACGCTGCGATTGAAGTGCAGGTCAAAAACAAGGAAAACGATGTCTCGAATGCGTCAGCAGCAACAACAGCACCAAACCCAACGAACCCAGATGAAAGCAGCAGCGGCAGCACAGCAAGGAAATCGTTGAAGCTCACACCAGAACAGCTAAATGGCAATGCTAATGGCAACATCAGTGAAAATGCCGCGGCGCCGCAGTCAGCCAACGTCAATGTTAATGCGAACGCCAACACAGCTGCCGCAACGGCAACGCCGCAAGCAGCAGCAACGCCAACGCCAACAGCGACCGATGTGAACAACGGCAATGCGACGGACGAGACGAATAAGAAATCAGGAGGTAAAGTCATACAAAAGTCACCAAAAAGACACAAAGCACAATTATTGAACCCATTGAATTTGATACGTAAATCACGCGCTGCCGCGTCCAATAAAAGCGAAAGTGTTGTTGTTGTTGAAAAGCGTGCCGCTACCAATGACCTTAATATTATAGATAATGTAGCTACAACAGACAAAAATGTTGATGAGCCAAATCTCAATATTGAAAAAAGTCAAAAGGTAGCCGCGCCGGTTAGTAAAAATCCTTTCGAAGATGATGAACAAATCTACGAGATACCAACCGGTGAGTACACACCTCGTCGGCACAGCGCCAATGAAACGAGTACCTACTACATGCTATGTAGATCGTTTACGATCGTATGCTTCATCACTTCTCTTCTTCTTCTACTTTTTACACATGCGCCTTCTTATAAAAAATATATATATATATATACTTAGATATATATACATATATACCTATTTATGTATGTACGCAGTAAGAGCTGTACAGGATTCGACGCACGCATAGTTGTTGTCTTGTGCGTGTGTTTGTAATGTTGTGGCCAAGCGTTTGTAGGCCTTTTCAAGTTCACCTTTGAGACAGTTTTTCAATGTAACAATTTTTAGGCAATTCGCTTACGCTTGGGGTTTACAGTTAACTTGGTACGAGTACGTTGCTGCGAATGCAACAATTTCACTCCGTGTTTGTAATAATGGTGAAGGATATGTGTTTTCAAATATTTCTTTACAGTGCTTTAAATTTTATATGACCTGCGAAAAGAACAAAGAAGATACAGTCATGAATTGAAAAAGAGAGATTGAAATTTTCTAACCTACTACAAATTAGTGGAATTTTTTAAAAATTATTTTATTGCTTGCTTTTTTGTTGTTGTACGTAAAACTAACTTATAAATAGCAATCCAAATACTATACATACATATGTATGCGTAAGGCGAGAACTGTAGGGTAAAAAATATGTCAGAACTAAAAAAAATTAGTATAAAAATGAAAAGAATAAAAAATATAAAAAAATAAAACAAAAAAATTTCCAATGCATTTTTGTTGCTCTATTGAAAATATTAAATTGCATGCTGGTATGTATAAGCC